CTCCTACTTTCTGGTCTCCCAGGGTTTCTTGTTAGTTTATTCATGTATTTACAATATTTTTAAAATAAATTTTGATCCAGTATTTTTATTTTTATTTTTTTAATATTTATTTTTTAGTTGTAGTTGGACACAACACCTTTATTTCACTTGTTTATTTTTGTATGTGATGCTGAGGATCAAACCCAGGGTCTCGCACGTGCGAGGCGAGYGCTCTACTGCTGAGCCACAACCCCAGCCCCAGTATTTTTAGATATTATATATCATGGGTTTCTATAAATGTGTGGTCTTCTGCTTTGTAAAAAATGGCAATCTTGAGTGGATTGTTCTATTCATTCATTCATTCATTCATGTGCAAAAGTGAAAACTTGGAAAAGAATTAGGAATGATCATCATCTTTAATAATTATGGCAGGAGTCTTCCTCTAGAGTTGTACTTGGTTTGAGGTGGCTAATCAAGTGTGTTGTAGCTGAAGAAAATACTGGGTCTCAACTGGACAGAGATTTAGCTAACATCTACAAGTGTAAAGAAATTGTGGAGATAGTAGCTGTTAGATTAATATCAGTGCTATTATAGATTTGTTGTTCTTTAGCATTGCTGTCTTGCAAGCAGTTATAATCTCAAATGTATCAAATTACTAAATCTAATCCACTTTCACCCTTATCCATTGATTTATTTCACTTAATACCTCATTTGTTATTTAATAATAAAGTACTAACAGTAAGGTTTCTGCAGGGTGAGTTCCTGGGTAATTTCCTAGTTTTTCCTGAGGTATGCTACCAAATTGACTTCACCAGGCACTTTATTTAGTCAATGTTTCATTGTCACTGCTTATTAAACCAAGTGGGCAGGACTTTATGATCATACTTTATCTAACTGGAGAACAGTTAAAACTGATTACCTTCAGGATTTTTTGGCTATTAATATGAGATACTGGGAWGGGGAAAACAGGCAGGACAAACAGAATTTATGATTCTTTTGGTAGCAATATTATAAAGGTGATTAAAATACAACAAAAGCAATTAATCCCACTATCCAGAAATAATCACTATGAATATTTTGATCTATTTTCATATTTTAAATGTTAGAATTATACTGTATATTCACCTTTGTTTTATTTTATTTATTTTTATGTGGTGCTGAGGATCAAACCTAGTGCCTCACACGTGCAAGGCAGGCGCTCTGCCATTAAGCTACAGCCCCAGCCCGTTAGCTTTGTTTTATAACTTACTTTTATCACTTATTATTTGTCCAAGCTTCCCCATTATATTAAATACTCTTTCAGAAATTTCTCTTTCTGTTTTTATGGGGCTGGGCGTGGAACCCAGGGTTTTGTGCTTGCTAGGCAAGCACGCTACCACTGCACTGCACACCCAGTTAGCCTTTAGAGCTTTTAAATAGCTGTATAATATACYCCCCTATGACTGAATCATAATTTATCTGACAATTTCCCTATTTTTGGGCTTTTAGATTGTTTCTAACTCCCCTTTAATAAATAAAGCTATAATTAGCATTCACGGCTTACTCATATTTGTGAATATCTTCAATTATCTCCTTGGGATATTTTTTAAAACCAGCTATTCATGGGACATCGGTATAAATGTTTCTGTGGCTCTTGATATACAGTGCCAAATTGTGCTTCAGGATTTTTATATGTGCTTGTTTATACTCCGTGTAGAAGGATATTTGTTTTATTACATCTTTTCCAAAATGTAGCGATACTTCTGTAGTAATAATTTTAGAAGTAATCAGGTTAAATTTGCACTCCTTTGATTACTAATGAGGTTGCATTTTATGTTTACTTTCCTTTTTGTATTTAATAATCTGCATGTTAAACGGTGTTTCTAAAAGTGCATTTTCCCCCAGTAACATGTTTATCTATTCCTTACTAATTTTTTATCTGTTGTATTATTGCTTATTATTTAGATTTTGCCTTTAAATCTTGGTTGTGAAATAATTTATGTCATCAAAGTAGTATACTTTCATGTAGTCAATTACCTTTTCATGGGGTAGAGTGCTTGCCTAGCACGTGTGAGGCACTGGGTTTGATCCTCAGCACTGCATAAAAATAAGTAAGTAAAATAAAGGTATTGTGTCCATCAACAGCTAAAACATTAAAAATAAAAAACTAAAAATCTTTTCATTGTGATTTCTCTCCTTTCATCTCTTGGAAATGTTTGGAATGGTTATTCTCTAACCCAAGATCAAATAGTCATCTGTACTCTATGTAACTTGCCTACTCCTACTRTCTTTCTTTTTTTACATTGGATTTTTAATCCATTTGGAATTTATTCTGCTGAGATACAGGGATTTGATTCCCCACTCCCAAATTTAAAGAACTGTCCCAATACCATTGGTTGATAGTCTTTTCTATTTCCACTGACTTGATAGGTTATCTTAGTTAATGCTTTAATTTTCATCTATCACCACCATTTTGAATGTACTGTATATTCCAGATTTTGGTATTGTTAGAGTTTACAATTTTCTGTCTCCTGATTTTGAAATAATATGTCATTGGTTTTGCTTTTTTTTTTTTTTTTTAGTGTGGTCCTGGGGATTGAACCCAGGGTCTTGCACATGTTAGGCAAGAGCTCTGCCACCTAGCCCTTTGCACTTTTTGATTAGTAGGGAGGTTGGACATCTTTTCATATGCTTATTGGCTACTCCTGTTCAGATCTTTTGTCCATCTTTCTGTTAGCTTGCATTTGTATGGATTTGTTATAATAACTACAATCTGAAATTGCTACCAAGAACATATAAAAATTTGTGATTTGACTTTGTTCAATTTCAAAATAGTTGAATTTGTCAGTCTGTTGTAGTTTGTGTGTTTTCTAGTTTTGTTTTTTTTTTTGTACTGGGGATGGGTCACAGGGTGATTTAACATATATGCCCAGGTCTTTTTAATTTTATATTTTGAGACAGGGTCTTGCTAAGTTGCTTCGGCTGGCCTTGAACTTGCAATCCTACTTCAACTTCTTAAGTCACTGTAATGACAAGTGTCCATCACTGTACCTGGCTAGTCTTATTAATGATGAGTAATTATTCTAGGCACCGTTTGAGGCATTTGAGATACACCATAAACAAAACACAAGATTTCTAGAGCTCACGTTCAAGAAGCTTTTGCTCTGAGTTGGTAAAAATATTCATTCACCTTTTTTTTTTTCTCCTAAAAGTATGTAAGTTTTACTGTTTTACTTTTAGGTCATTGATCTACATTGGATGTATTTTTGTATGTAGTATGAAGTAAAAAATCTAGTTTTATTTTTCTATGTGATCATCTATTTATCCCAGCACTATTTTATTGATTAATAACATTATTTTTCCACTATTTAGTAGTGTTACCTCTGTTGTGTATCAAGTTTCTACATTTGAATGGGTTTGTTTCTGTACCTGTTTTGTATGTTGGTATATTTTTCTGTTCTTGTATCTATATCATATCCTTAGTTAATGCAGCCTGGTAGCAAGCCTTGATATCATAGGTCCCCCTATTTTATTTTTCCATTATAATTGTTTGATCTGTTTTTAGTCTTTATTTTCCATTCGCATTTTAGAATCAGCCATACTTTAATTGTTATCTTTGATTATGACTGGCTTCCTTTTCAGGGTTACTCTTTGCTGAGTTGGGGTAAAATCCTGTTACATTAGTGGTATTTTCCATTTTGAATGGTGCTGACCTTTCAACTTCTCTAGGTCCTGCCTGCCTGTTGTTCTCTCTCCCTCCCTTCCTCTCCCTTTTTGTGTCCTGCCTTCTCAAATTTCTGTCATCCTTTCTTTCTTTTCTTATGGTCATTCTAAATAATTCTTTAAGAATGTGTTTTTTTTTTTTAAATTTAAAAAGTAGTATATGATGTACATGTTGGGAGAGGAAAACAATATAGAAATATAATAAAACAAGAAGTGAACATTTCTGAAAACTGTTTCCTGGGTCTTCCAGATATTTTCTGAATATGTATAAATCTGTGTTTATTTTAAAAAAGATAATATGCATACTTCTCTGTAGTTTCCTTTGTTTCATTAAGTATTTAAAAAGTCATTCTTCCATAGCTTTTATTCATCTTAATGTCTGCACTACATTAAGATGTATGTATGGTAGGTAATTCAATTCCCAATTTATTTTGTATATACATATACTAATATATTTATTCATGGGGCTAGGGTGTGGCTCAGTAGTAGAGCGCTTGCCTAGCATGTGTGAGACACTGGGTTAAATTCTCAGCACTGCATATAAATAAATAAATTAAATAAAGGTCTATCAACAACTAAAAATTATTTTAAATATATATTCATTCCTCAGTGTCTATACTTCAGGTATATACCATAATTTAATAATTCCCCATGGGCTCATAGATACCTGTGTACTTTTTGGTCTTGAAGCTGCTTTCAAATGCAGTTCATCTTTGTTGGCAAAGTGGAGGTCATGGAGTTTATTTTTCGATTCTCCATGCCTTCCCCTTTACTCTTCTCAAGGGGTCTTAGGGAGGTTCTACCAAGAGGTCTCCTATAGACTTTCCAAGACACAGGCATGGAGCTTTCTGAAAATGGAAGAATTGGCTGCAAACCTGAGTGTAGTTTTTTTAAGAGATGGGATTTCACTGTGTTACCAAGTAGAACCCAAACTCCTGGGCTAAAGTAATCTTGCCTCAGCCTCCTGAGTAGCTGGATCATACCCTGATACTCACTATCATTCTTTAGTTTGAGGCTGTCTGCTATACTGTAAAGAAATCCTTAAAAGATTTTTTTTAACATGTGGTGTTCTGGAGGAGAGTGTGTGTGGTACAGTGTTAAAGGTAGTAGGAAAATTGTATAATTGAGAAGTGAATGAGTTTGAGAAATGGAGATGGAGAACTTAAGCACTTCTTTGCCATACACTCAAGGCTGAGAGGGCAGGGGACAAAGAGAGGCAGATCTTGGGATTTTGCTTTTTTATTAGTATTATAACTTTTGAAGGAAGTTTAAGTTGGATCTCTGTCTTATATAATTTGTCCTTTTCTTAATCTTCCTAGCCTCCACCAGGCAGTGTGAAAATGCCCAATGTACCCAATACACAGCCAGCAATAATGAAACCAACAGAGGAACATCCAGCTTATACACAGATTGCAAAGGTTAGTTTATGATAACTGTGAATTTATAGTAGAAATTATAGTATCAATAACATTTATAGTATMAATAATATATTGATACTATAACATATTGAAATCATAGTATTAATAACATTTCAGAGCAAAGTAATTTTTTGTACTGTTGCTGTCCTTATTTTTTAAAAAGCAATTTAATTTACTTTTGAGTCTGGATTAGCCATCTTGTCACAGCATGTACTCCCTTTTCTCAGCCTGTAGCATTTGCTTTATTCCACTATTAGGAATTATTAGTATATCATCTTGGTGTACAGTTTGTATAATGAAATTTTTCTTGCCTTTTGTCTCAATTTTTTAATACATTAAAATTCTTGCSAGGCTGGGGTTGTGTCTCAGTGGTAGAGTCCTTGCCTAGCATATGTGAGGCACTGGGTCCGAACTCCTGCATCACATAAAAATAAATAAGTAAAGGTATTGTGTGAATCTATAACTAAAAATATAAAAAAATTTTGCCATTATGGTAACAATGAGACTRTAATATACTGAGAAACAGAGTTACAGTATATATTAAACAGAGACTAGCAGGAGGAGGTAGAAGATGGCAAAAGTCATAGAAAAATGGAGGTAAATAAGTTGCGTGGCTTAATACACAAGCAGATGTAGTTTTTAGACTTGTTAAGCCTATAGTTTTTCACCTTGGTGTCTTATTATGTTTAAGGTATTATAAAATATTCCTACATTAGTAGGAGCCTTATATGTCATTTAACCTAGTTTATTAGAGCCAATTCAATTGCCCCCCCATCTTTTTTTCTATTTGTCACTTTTCTTTAGTTGTTCCCTTTACCTCTGTTCTCACTTTCATTTAAGCACAAAGGTCACCTTAATTTCATTTTCCAGAATATCTGAAGACTGACTAGTCAGTTACTGAGGGGTTTTTCCTGTCCTGTGGGCTCAACATTCCCATGGAGAGTTTTCATAACTGAAAGACTAGAATGGGCTACAGATCTCTATAATATTCTCTGAAATTGTAATCTTCCAACAAATTTCTGTATTTTGGAAGCACATTTGAATTAGTTTTTAAAAAACCTTTTATAGTAAAGGGGCTTGACTTTAGGGTCACTATGCTGCTACTGATCTATTTTTCCAGCCTTCTTATTTTTGGGGGATAGCATCTCCTTAAGTTGCCAAGGCTGGCCTCAAGTTTGCAATCCTCCTGCCTCAGTCTCCTGAGGAGCTGGGATTATAGGCATGTACCACTGTACCTGGTTGAATTAGATTTTTAGATTTCTAAGATGGTAGTGAGAGAGAAGGAGATAGCTTATAAATGATAGAATATTTTATAATCTGACTATTCACATATTGATAATTTTTGTTTAGGAACATGCCTTGGCTCAAGCTGAACTTCTTAAGCGCCAAGAAGAACTAGAAAGAAAAGCTGCAGAATTAGATCGTCGAGAACGAGAAATGCAAAACCTCAGTCAACATGGTAGTACTCAGAGAAGTTTGAAATAAAAATATCTATCCCAGCTCTAGGTCATTTGATTTGTGGATAAGATCCTGCCCTATTTTCCTGTTCTAGCAAGGAGATCAGACACAACAGATTGCCTACTTGATACTCTGTAGCTCTCTGATCCTAGCTAATTTGCATAGTCTTTTGATAGATTAGAACAAAGTTGGCCTCATCACAGAGAAAATGAATGCAATTTTGATACCTTTGGTTCATTCTCAGCCCAGGAGCCTTTGATTCTGCTCTTGGGCTCTCTGGGTCTATTGAACCTTGTAAGTACGTTTGAGTGTGCCCCACATTTGATTCTTACTGGATAAATTCAGTCCAGTTTCAAATTATTGGCTGCAATTCTCACAAGTACATTATCTTTGTCAAAATATGTTGGAAAAATATGTTTATAGCGACCCCAGGAAGCCCAGGGTATTTATATGATGCCAAAGAAAGAAATTTGCCATGACATTTTTTCAGGCTGTTATTACTAAGGATCACTTGAAGGGAGTATTTTAGGGGAAGCTAGCAATCTCTGGATAAGAAGGATTAAGGGAGCTGGGAAAGTCATTATTAGAATGCCTGGGGATGGAATAACACATTTAGGACAACAGTAATGAACAGAATTATTTCTTCCTTATTTCACAATGTGTAGATCTAGGGCCTCATGAAGACACATTTATTCTGGGTCATCTTCTAGCTTGCAGCATCAGTGATGGCATCTACAGGAGAAATGAAAGGTTTAATATGGGGACCAATGTTTCTAAAATATCTTTAACTAAAATTTGTCCTATTTTCTTAGCATCACTATAAAATGATTTCCAAGAGAGGTTTTAGGAAGGGAAGTAATTAACAAAGAGTAAGAAATAAACAGATTGGTATCTATTAGTACATTTTTCATCTATTAATTCATATTTAATCCTTAGTACTATCCTATGAAGGGTGGCACTGTTGTTCTCATTTTACATAGATGAAGAAATTAAGCCTTCAAGAGGTGAAGGTGCCCACACTGGCTTAGCCAGTAAGTGGTGAGGCACTTGTGGTTCCGGAGCCTTGATCTTCACTCTGATTTTCTGCCACTTCTCAGATCGTATGAGACTGTTATGGGAAATGTCTAAACTGTACAAAATTTGAATATTATAACAACTGTAATTGAGGGAGCATGCTGGGGAGAATCAGAAGTAGGTCATACTTTTTTCCATTATGAAAATTTTCCTGGTCTACAGATGTCTTTAGAACTTAATTTTTTTAAAAAAGTTGTGGGATGTGATATTTAAAATTGGAAAGTGATCTTTTGTTGATTATTTTTACCTTTTACTTTTATGTTTGACTTCCTGCTTTATTTTTAATTTTTCCCTTGCCATTTCTTAAGTCTTATTTTTAATCTAATTTCTTTATATAGATACATTTTCTCTCCTCATAGTTCAAATTTTTTATGTAGATTTTTGAGGATGCTATAATTTTCCCACTTCTTTCTTGTGATTTTTTTTCATATTTTCTCCCTGTTTTGTGGTTTTCTCACATATGTATTTTGGGCGGTGGTCTTTTAGCCAGACTTTGAGATTTCCAAATTTGATTCTTTGATGTTAGTTTCATGGAGTTAACAGTAGAAAACTTGAGGTTCAGAAGATGGTGTCTATAGGAGAAATGAAAGGCTTAATGGGGATCAGTGTTTCTAAACTACCTTTAACTAAAGGTCTTTCTTCTCCACAAGGGTTAGGAATTTTAGCAGAATTATAATGAATGATATAAAATGCTGAGAAGGAAATTGAAGTGGAAAAACTGGCTGGCCTTTCCATGATAGCCAAATTTTAGGGCAGAGTTATGGTGTATATACCTGTACTTTCTTTTTTGTGTCTGGTTTCTCCTGAGCATTAATGGTGCATGCTAAACATGATGTGATGTGACACTGGAAAGCTATTTTACCATCTATTATTTTCTAAAGTGATATTCTGAAAAAATTTTAGAAATGTAAAACTTGGCCTTCAAATTTATAGAAATGCAAAGATAGTGTTACATTTTAAAATGTAACATCTTTTAATAGGTTTCTTTACTATGAAACCAGTAAGAATAAAACATTTGATATAAGTAACTTTTTGTTTTCAATTTACAGGCAGAAAAAATAATTGGCCACCTCTTCCTGACAATTTTCCTGTGGGACCTTGTTTCTATCAGGATTTTTCTGTAGATATTCCTGTAGAATTCCAAAAGACAGTAAAGCTTATGTACTACTTGTGGATGTGTGAGTATAAAACAAATTTTTTATTTGTTTAAAGTTTACAATTTTTGTTATTAAAAATCTATCATATCAGAACTGATATATTGAGGATAGGATAGTAAACTGGTCTTTTTCTGTAGATCTTAATAATCATATTTTTCAGAATGAAATATCATATTTATATACTTAAAAATTGCACTGTATGTGGCAGTATAAGCCCTTGGCTAAGGATAACCTGTAAATTGAGAACTGACTTTTGAGGAAAGGTTACCTTCTCTGTCACATGGGTGGGATTTTGTAATGATCCTTTTTCCTTCATGGAAAGAATCATAGACATGATTTGCTTTGAAAAAATCATGCATACTATTTTTATGCTTAAGAAGACGATTTAAATTCTTTTAAAAGTAGGCATGATGGCTACTTTTTCAAAGGGACATAAAATATTATAATATTATAAACCATAATTTAAATAATAGCTTTGGGCAGTTTACTTTTCATTTTCAAGTGGTGTGAGTGCTTTTATTCTTGAAAGTACTTAAGTAATACAGTTCATCTTATTGAATAGAACAGTAGCGCAGACGTTTTAGGCTGTGATGCTCGCATTGCTTTGAGTGTAATTACAACTCATAGAATACTAAAATAAAATGTCAAGCTGTGAATAGTTTTGCTGTGTGTATACAGACTTCCCACTTACTCGGTTTTATTTTTATTCTAGACAGTAGTCTCAACCTCACTTGATATCATCATGTCAGTCGGGAAGCCAGCAGTTATGGCTTCTCACCTATGTGACAGTGGGGGAGGCATGATTTTTAGGGTACACACTTAAAGAATGAAATTTGTGTTTTTACTTCATGATTAGTGAGACTTTTTTGCCATCCTAAATAGATTCTTCTTAAGAGCACTCTTCACGTAGGTGAAGTCATTTTGGAATATGAGAAGCAGTTCCTTCTGGATAATCCTTTTTTTAATTTTAACTCTTAGAGGTTTCTTGTTGAGATTTTCTTTTTAGCCTTTATCTCTTGCTGGATCACCAGTATTGCTATTATTTTTTTAATATTTAAGGTGTGATTTCACACATACACACATGCTAACCAATTCATTTAATCAAATATATCTATATTATAGCTGCATATATATTTTATGTATGTATTTTTTTCTAATGGACAGAAATTGGCCTAGCATTTTGTAAGTTCTTTAACTTAATAAAAAGAATTTCTTGTCCTTTTTGATGAAGGGAGATAGAATTCTGTCTGAAGAAAATTATACAAGGTATTTAATAAATAGAGATTGAGTGGGGAAGATGGTTAATTTCAACTAATAGTTGACTACCAATACTGATGGTTTCAATGCTGATATCTGTTTTGTCATCAAAATCTATAATGTTCTGAATCTCTGAGAAATAATGTAATTGAGTATAGTTTCCCCTAATTCTGTTCAGTTGGTAGATCTGTTAACTGGTATTCGAGAGGACTCAAAAATTCCGGTTGGGATTCTGTCTTGAAGAAGCATTTTTGGAACAAAATAATGTTTACTGCCAGCTTAGTAATATGCCTAAATTTTATAGAATTTAGGCTGTTTTAGGAAGTTATTTTCAAGAATTATCTACTATTGATGATTTGGGATTGACTAATGCTTCTACTGTAATAATAATAATGATATTGAGAGCCAACATTTGTGGATTTATTTGTTCCAATCATTATACTAATCTCTTATATATATTATCTTCTTAAGTCCTAACCACATTGTGAGTCAGGCACTATGTTATTTAATTTTGTAAGTAGGGAAATTAAGCTTAGAGGATTTGAATCACTTGTCCAAATCACACAAGTAATGCTGAAGTTGGATAGCCAGACTGGAGCCCTGGGTCTAGGTTTCCATGTTATACCATTTACAAGTACCAAAATAAAGAAATAATGTACATTTAAAAATGAATATGATGAAGATAAGTCTTCAAAGGTATCTGACCTAGGGAAAATAATTTACCCTGTACATGAACTGAATCAATTAGAAATATCACTGAGCTGAGTATGGTGGTGACTCATTCCTATCATCCCAGCTATTGGTAAGGCTGGTGAGGAGAATAGCAATGTCAAGTCCAGCCTGGCAACTTGGTGAGACTCTGTCCCAAAATAAATGAAAGGAATGGGGATGTAGTTCACCAGAGTGCTTGCCTGGCATGTGTGAAGCCTTGGTTTTGATTCAGTAGTACACCTCCACACCAAAAAAATTACATATGTATTATTATATACATTATATATATGATATATATATGTGCATATACATGGAAATATCACTGTGAAATTAATCTTAACCCTTTTAAGTGTTTTTTCTAATTAAACAAAGAAAAGGGAAAAACAAGCCAGCTGTATTCAAGACCATTTAGCAAAGAAGGTAATATGCCATGTTGGGTGTCTGCACTGTAATTCAGGACTTATTGAGAAGAATATTGTGATAATTGCACGTTTAGGTTATTAATACCACATTTGAGTGCCTAATACAGAAAGTTGAAATTTTATGTAAAAGAGAATTATCCAACTTATAAATCATATAAACARAATAGCCTAAAGATTTCTTTAGCATTCTACTTACACTTGGGAGTCAATCAGCATAGATTTATTGCTCCCTTAAATTGGATTGAAATTAGCAACATAGATCATGTGCATGTTTTACATTACATTGCCTTTCTTATACATTTTCTGATCTCTGTAAAAGTGGACAGATTGTTCAGTAAGTAGACATTTTAATCTTCACTGGGATACAAGTAAATGACTTATTGATCATGATTGTTGGTTACCAGGAAAATACTTAGGAAAAAAATTTTAATAGATTACACAAAATTAAATTGATTTTTATCTATACCTGGAAGAATTTTTGTCGACTTTAAAACATGCATATATACATATTTTTTTAAATGGATTAGGAGATGAACCTTTAAAAATTATTCCTGTGAAGATTGAAAGTTAGCATGTTCTTAACATTTGAAACTTTTTTAGGTGACTAGATAATATATTAATGCTACAGAATAGTAATATAATATTTCAYAGAATTTTGAATTCTATTTTTAAGCCCTAACAACTACCTTTATTTTGAGGAAAAGAATTTTTAGTGAATTTATTGGTAAGCTGATTTTCATGAGAATTAAAAATCTAATGGGAATAGAGTACTTGGTGAGTGTTTCTTTTGCGAATTAGCAGGGAATGAAATTTTCAAAGTAGAAGAGCTCCTGTTATTTCTTTAACTGAGAAACTAAAGCTCACAAAGGTGAAGTGGTTGTCTTAATATTAAATGGGCATAATCTGGGTGTTCATGGCTCTGTTGGAGCTCTTTCACTTGAGAGTTTTATTGATCTAGTGATTAGATAAGAGCAAGTCTGGAGCATCCTAGGATATGTGGTTTTATCCTGTTCCATTAATTATTGATTTTATTTCATAAAGAGGTCTTAAAACTTTTTTTAATATATGTTGAGTTTCTTATTTAGATTGAATAAGTCTTTTCATTTGTTAATTTTAATTCAAGTCATAATTTGGCATATTTTTATTGATAATTTACATTTTATAGTATTTTAGTTTTCATGAGAATTTATTTCTATAATTTAACCTGTGAATAAATTTTTAAAGAATCCTTTATTTATTTTTTGGTTCTGGGGATTGAACCCACAGGTGCCTTACCACTAGGCTACATTCCCAGCCCTTTTCAAAAAAATTATTTTGAAACAGGATCTCACTAAGTTACTAAGGGTCTTCCTAAATTGCTAAAGCTGTCCTTGAAATTTCAATCCTGCTATCTCAGCCTCCTGAGGCCCTGGGATTATAGGTATGTACCACCATGCCAGGCATATTTTTTATTTTGAGACAGGTTCTTGCTAAGTTACTGACACGGGCCTGGAACTTGTGATCTGTCTGCATCAGTCTCTGGAGTCACTGGACTAATGGGCAAGCATTCCCATGCCTGGCTGAAGAATGCTTTTAAAAATTATGATGGGCAAATATGGTTCTTAGGATCATAACGTAGTGAGATGTTATTCAGACATTTTGTTTCTAATCTGTTAGGGAAAGTCTTTRTTAACCACATAGGGAGAGCTTGCCAAGGTCTCTGGGTATTAACCCCTAGGAAAGGCCTGCCTTAGTAGCCAACATGMATCATGTTGTGTGTGCATATGGGAATCCTGGGGTGGGGTGGTATTAATAATAACTTTAATCCTCTACTAAAAAGGTATTTTTTAGGACTTAAAAAAATGGACAACTCTCTGAAGATGAATTAATAATCCTTATAGATTGATTATAAACTCCCTGGCAATTGCTACTGTGTTTTTATTTTTAGAACACTTTTTAGTCTGTAGCTCCATTATCTAAAAATACAGTTGTGAGTATAGCACCTCTCTCCTCCTAAGTCCTGGCTCTTTCTGAGTAGGCACAATGTTTCTTCTTGGGCCTTGGATCCAGAGGCAACCACATGATTGCTTCAGAGGAAACCCTTACAGGGGTGCTTTTTTGGTTAGGTGTGTAATTCCCTATTAGGAGGAGAGGACCAATAGAATTTTTTTAAAAGTGCATGTATTAGGACTCACTTTCCTGTGTGTACTCTGTTTTTAAATCAAGTGTGTATGAAACAGTGTTTTAAAAAAATAGTAAATGGAAACATGGGATAGAATACATTTATTCTTAGGAAGTTTTTTTTTTTCATTTACAATTTTTGTTGATGAATTAATAAATTGAATGTAAACATTTCTTTTCTATTTTGTTTTCTGATTCCACAGTCCACGCTGTAACACTGTTTCTAAATATCTTCGGATGCTTGGCTTGGTTTTTTGTTGATTCTGCAAGAGGGGTTGATTTTGGATTGAGTATCCTGTGGTTCTTGCTTTTTACTCCTTGTTCATTTGTCTGTTGGTACAGACCACTTTACGGAGCTTTCAGGTAAAATGTTGTGTACTTTGAAATATGCTCTTTAAAACCTGTGAAGTAAATAATTTGTAATATACCTAAAGGTAGAACTGACATATTTTCAATAAGATTTTTAATCATTTTATTATCTTCTGAAAGGTCTAACATGGCATGCCTGTATATTCATTGGATCATAAAGTTAATAAAATTCTATTCTTTTCTCCCCCTTGGGGGGGAAAAAGACCAACTATGAAAATTAACAAAGGAAAAATAAACAGCATCAGATCTTAACATTTATAAAATAGTCTATTCCATACTACATACTTGACTTGAAGAAAAATTTTGCTTTTCACCCTCCTTCCCCCATGTTTCTGCAATGACAAAATTACAATTGGAGATTACAGTTCTAATTTTTAAATGAATATATATAAGGTAAATACACATGTGGTGTTTTCACCCAGCAACTTGGTAATTATTTTCTGTGTAAATTCATTTTTGGGTTTTCCAAAGGCAGTGACATTTTATAAACTTTAGACTATAAGATGAAGTATAATATTTTTATAGCATATTTTAGCAATGGTTAGGATTAACATTTCCTAAGTGTATGTTCTGGGGGATATTAATAGGTTGGGGAGAAAGGAGTTTATTAACTTAATAAGTTTGAGAATAGCTGGTTAATAAACAAGTTTCTTCATTTCAGAATTTCTGGTCTAATTAAGTGACTGGTGTGCTTTGTGACTTGATCATAAAACCATTCTTTTTTTGTGGAATAGCATTCTTGGCTTTAAGAAGTAAACATTGGACTTGGGAGACTGAAGCAGAAGAATTCCAGGTTCAAGGCCAGCCAGAGCAACTTGGCGAGAACGTGTGTCAAAATAAAATAAAATAAAAATAAAAGGGCTAGATAAAATAAAATAAAAGGGCTAGAATGAAATTCAGTGGTAGAATGCTTGCCTAGCATGCACAAAGCCCTGGGTTTAATCCCTAGTACTGGGGGAAAAAATGGAGCTAGGAGCAGTGGCTCACTCCTGTAGTTTCAGTTACTTAGGAGGCTGAAATGGACAGATTGCTTGAGCCCAGGAGTTCAAGGCCAGCCAAGATCCTATATTCAAGAGAGAGAGGGGAAAAGAGAGRAACCTAACCTAGATGTGACCTAGGTGTCTAAAGTGATGGGGGCCGGGGCTCAGAGATAGTAAAGAAAGGAGATTGTAAAAAAAGATAGTAAAGAAAGAAAGGAGAACAACAGGGAATTTGGAGAAATGAATGTACCAAACAACAGTAAAGTGAATTATTGGTTAGAAATGAAATGAAGGGAAGACATAATGAAGGGAAGGGAAAGGAGGAAGGAATCTTTGAATACATCCTTTGGATATATTGGAATATGGGAGATTGGTTGTCAATAAATGGGGAGAAGTTCCCCCATAGATGTGGGTTAGATATTAATAAGAACCTATTTACTTTTTGTACCATCTGGGAAGAATGTTATTTCTGCCTCTTCTTTTGTTATCTAAGGCTGCATTACAAGGCTTTTTTTTTTAATTTTTATTTTTTCCTTCTTCTTCTTTTAACATCTAAGGTTGCTTACTTCCATTATGTTACCAGTATATTATCTATAATGATGCTGGTGGGTGGAAGGAGGAATATCTTCATGAGAATTTTCTTTAATAATCTGAGATGAGTCTTTGGATGATAAACCTTCTATAATTATGTAGCCAAAATAAACTCTAAAAGCCAGCTGTCTGCCTTTATTACTTGAAGACATGTATTATCTTTTTTTCCTTAATTAAAATGTTTCATGGAACATTTTTAATTATGGMATTATCAATCCCTAGGCTAGATTATTAGCTGAAGCTCAGCCTTTTAGAGTTTATCATGAATATATTATCTGGGTTTCACTGTGCAGAATAGAACTGAAAAATTTTTTTATGGATGAAGTTGAATTAAAGTACTTCATATCATTAGTGTACCTTATCAGYGAATTACTTTGGCCTTTCATTTCACTGATATACTCAAGGACTTTGTCCTCCATAAGGTAATCCCATTGCATAAATTGGAATGAGAATTATATAGAGAAGTGTATGTTTTTAAAAGCCAAGTTTACTAGTTATGAATTAAACATGCCATTGTGTAACTTGTGCATTTTTWAAAAATTTTAGTTTTGTTTCACAAGTCCCTAAGCATTATGTAAATACTTCAACATAGTTGGTGATTTTTAATGAGAGGGTATTATTGTTGAAAAAGCATAACTACTGGAAACAGACTGAGAAAGATTTAGAATCCTGGCTTCCCCACTTCAAAATCTGCATTCTGTGTTATTATGGTCAAATGTGTGACACCTTTCAGAACCTCAATTTGTTAGTGGAAATGGTATAATATCTGCAGAGTTGCTAAGAAGAATAGGGAAAATGTATGCAAAATGTTTTTCATTCAAGAAGATCAACAAATGGTAGCTGGAATTTTTCACGTTTTATCATTTACTTTTGACAAGTGGATTGTGGTTGCTGTGCATTATGTTTTGCTTCTTTTAGTCCACTGTCCTCTTGTGCTCCAGTTTGAGCAAAGAGGAAGTATAATTTATAATGAGGTGTTCATTGTAAAGCTAAATAAAAATGAACTTTAATAATTCTAGTCTGATAATCTAGTCTTTTAATTGAATTTTTACTATATTTAATGTAATTACAAATATACACATGGATTTAAATCTACTTACTATTTATGTCATGTCTACTCCTTACTACATAAATCTTTTATATTCATTTTCTTTTCTTCTTTCAGATTAATAAAGTTGTATTCTATTTTTATATATTTTTCATCTGTTTCTCTTATTTATTTTGGTGCAGATCTGCTGGCATTGAATTCCATCAGTTTTGATTTGGTTGAAAACATTGTCATTTTCTGCTTATTTTTTAAGTTTAATGGTATAAATTCTTTGTGGCAGTGAATTCCTTATGGCACTTGAAGCATTCTATTCATTGTTTTTCACCTTTCATTGTTTCAATTGAGAAGTCAGTTGTAAGCCTTACTTATGCTCTTTAAAGGAAATGTCTTTCACTTTAGGCTATTTTAAATATTTTCTGCCTGTGGTTTTCAGTGATTTTTATTTGTATTTTCATACTTTTTGGAGTTTGTGGAGATTCTTTAATTTATGAATAATGTTTTTAAACAGTTTGGGAAATGATTGACATTATTTCTTTAAATATTGCTTTCGTATCTCTCGTAGGCAAAAAATGTCTTTGTATACACACTTGATTATCGAGATCTCTCTGTGGGTCTGTCTGTACTGCCTATTTTTTTGTCTCTGTTTTCAATCAAATGTTGCTGTCTCTTAGCATACTTGAAAAGTCTTTATTAAATCTGGAAACTGTGAGTAAAAAATCCTAGAGGCATTCTGATGATGATAATTTGTTTTAGAAAGTTCATCTGTTGCTTTGCTCATTTTCTAGCAGACAAAAACTGAGTTGCAACTCAAGATTTGTGTTGCAATTTTTAATCTCTGGTTCTATACTATATTATATTCTCACCAGAAATGTCTGAAGCTTTCAATTTCTCTACATCCTCACTAACACTATTTGTCTTTTTGATTATGGTCATTTAGTAGAGGTGTGGTAGTATCACATTGTAGTTCTAATTTGCATATCCCTAGTTAACTTATGATATTGAGTATCTTTGTTTATGCTTATTGTCCACACTTGCATCATCTTTGGTGAAATATCTGTTTTTTGTTTTTTAATTAGATTATTGGCTTTTTACTTTTAAGTTTTATATTCGRTTACTATTTTTGTAATTAAGAGTTATATAGTTATATATTTGGATACAAGTTCTTTTTATGATTTACACATATTTCTCCTAGTCTTTGGCTTCTTTTTTAATTTTTTTTTTGTTATTTTCTAGTTGTAGATGGACACAATATCTTTATTTTATTTATTTATTTTTATGTGGTCCTGAGGATTGAACCCAGGGCCTCACGCATGTGAGGCAACCGCTCTACCACTGAGCTACAACCCCAGCCCCTAGTCTATGGCTTCTTAATTGTGCCCTAGAAAACATGAAAATGTTCAATTTTAATGTAGTCTAACTTACTTTTTTAAACAAAATGTCTTGTTTTGTTAGTGTCATGACTAAGGATAGTTTGCATAGATTCTTTTTTTCCTTTAGCTTTGGGTCTTGCTATGTTGTTCAGGCTGGCCTCCAACTACTGGACTCAAGTAGTTCTACTGCCTCAGCCTTGTGAGTAACTGAGGACTACAGGTGTGTACCACCATGTCTGCTATGATTTACCTCTGGATGTTTATAATTATCTCTTATATTTAGTCTGTTATACATCTTGAATTCATTTTATTTATTGCTTGGGAGGGTTAATTTGTGTTTACATTGTGTCTAAATTCATCTCTCTGTTGTGAATATCCACATATCCTAATGCTGTGTGTTAAAGAGATAATCTTAAATTATTTTTGTACATTATTGAAAAATCGCTTGCCCCCATATATGGATGTGTCTGCTTATGGATTTTCCTCATTGACTCATTTGTATACCTTTGTTGAAAAATCTATTAATAATAAATGTAAGGATATATTTTTGGGTACTATTTTCATCAATTGAACAATATGCTGCCTTGATTAATGTTGCTTCATGRTAAGTCTGTCTTTTACCTTTCTTTGTTTTCATAATAGTTTTGGCTGTTCAAGTCCCTTTGCATGTTGTTTAAATTTTAGAATCAACCTGTTCATTTCTTTAAAAAAAATCCTGCTGTGATTTTGATAGTGATTAAGGCAAATTTGTAGGTCAATTTGGGGAGAATATATACTTAACAATAACTTTATTATCCATGAATATGGATGTCTTCATTTATTTAGATATTTATGATTTTTCTCAACAGTGTTCTTCAGTTGTACAATTTTTATGTTTTATTTGTTTATTCCTCAGTACTTTATTTTTATGTTATTTTGGGTGTATTTATTTTCTTAATTCCTCTTTGGATTGTTTGTTGTTAGTAGTAAGAAATACAATTTGTCTTTGGTATATTTATCTTGTGT